TTAATAGGGCCGCTATTTTTGCTGAAAGATTTCAGGGCTTCAATAAGTTTTCCGTCAGTGTTATCCTCTCTCTGAATATTATCGGCAGTGGCCCTGTCACCTCCGCAGGAATTGGGCTGGGGCAACTGTGTAGGACTCGGTACTGTAATATTGGGCTCCAGATGATCAAATATATCAGAAAATCGTGTGGCAAGAATCCCCCGATCAACAAATTCGAGATTATCAGCTTTCTACTGTCACATATGGCACGAAAGCTGCACCTTTCTTAGCTATAATGACACTGAGACGCTTAGCTCAAGATGAACGTGAAAATAATCCATTAGCAGCGAAGGTTCTAGATGAACAAGTCTACATGGATGACGTGCTGTCAGGACACTTTACAGTCGAATTAGCAAATCAGCTGAAAACAGAACTTGTCACTCTTCTCAGCTCTGCAGAGTTCAATCTCAGAAAGTGGGCTTCTAATCAAGTTTCCCTTCTCGATGAGAACGTCAATTCGCAAACAGATGCTGAAACATACAACTTCCGTCATCAAGAATCCACTAAAACATTGGGTCTAGCTTGGAACTCTCACGCAGATAAATTTACATTCCAATGCAAGCTAACTCCTTCTTCCACGTCACAACAAAACATTACCAAAAGAACGTTGTTATCAGAAATATCCAAAATTTTTGACCCCCTAGGGTGGTTAGCTCCCTCTGTCGTACAACTGAAACTTTTATTCCAAAACATATGGACGTTAGATATTGTATTAAGTGGGACGAAGACATCCCCGAAGAACTCTTCAAAAAGTGGGTTCAACTAAGAAACGATATTTACAACATGAATGAGATAACAATACCCAGATGGATTAAAAGTGGACAGAGTGACATATTGCAATTTCATGGATTCTGTGATGCTTCTACAAAAGCATACGCATGTGTCATATATGTACGAATACAAAAAGAAAGTCAAGTAACCGTGACACTGCTAGCAGCAAAAACTAAGGTGGTTCCGCTCAATAAATCTATATCGTTACCCAAACTCTTATGCGGAGCCTTGCTACTCTCAAAATTAATGACTAAAGTAATACAAAGCTTAAATGGTCATAAAATGGAATTATTCGGATGGTGTGACTCGACAGCGGTTCTCGGATGGCTTCAAGGTAACCCTAGCAAATGGAAACCGTTCGTCGCTAATAGGGTTAAAAAGGTTACAAATGTTATGCCCTTTAACAGCTGGCGCTATGTAAAGTCCGACGAAAATCCAGCTGATTGCGCAAGTCGAGGTCTATCAGTCAAACAATTAAAAGATTACTCCATCTGGTGGAAAAGACCGACTTGGTTGGCTTCGATCTATACCACATTTGAGAGTAATAATTATGAAACTAATTTAGAAATGTATAAAATAAGACAAAGTAACGCTACACAAATTAAAAATACACAAATAAATATTATCGAACAATTTTTATGCAAACACAGCAGTATTACGCGAGTTATACGCGTCCTTGCCTGGCTCATGCGCGCGATAAAACAAAAACAGCAAAGGAAAGCATTTTTAACAGCTGATGAACTATACACCGCAAAATTAAAAATAATTAAGTATATACAACAATGTGAGTTTTCCGAAGACATATATTATATACAGAAAGATGGAAAAGTTAAAAACAACAGTAAAATCTATAACCTTAACCCATATCTAGACAAAACTGGAATATTAAGGGTTGGAGGTCGTTTAGAGAACTCAAACATTAGTGAGGAAATGAAACACCCAAAAATTATACCACATTCTGGCCACTTGACAGATCTCCTTATAGATTATGCGCATAGGGTAAATTTCCACGGTGGAGCCAGACTAACATTGGCTTATCTACGAGGAGAATATTGGATTATTGGAGGAAATAGAGCCGTCAAAAAACGTTTAAACCGCTGTGTTATTTGTAAGAAGCATTATCCAAATAAACAGCAACAAATAATGCGTGATTTGCCGGGGGTTAGAACTAACCCATCTAGACCCTTTTATCACACGGGGGTTGACTTTACGGGATTTGTCGAGGTCAAGGCTAATAAGGGTCGAGGCATTAAAACAACGAAAGGATATGTAGCGGTTTTCGTTTGCATGGTGACAAAAGCTGTGCACCTCGAACTCGTCTCCGATTTATCATCGTTGGCATTTATGGCTGCTTTACGGCGACTCGCAGCACGTCGAGGAACACCCCGTCACATATACAGTGATAATGGAACGAACTTCGTCGGAGCAAACAAGATGTTGAAAAGAGAGTTTTTAACTTAAAATCCATTATCTCCGACGAATTCCTGTCAGAAATAAGTAAAATGAAAATTGACTGGCATTTCAACGCCCCGTCATGGCCAAGTGCCGGAGGGTTGTGGGAAGCTGCCGTCAAGAGTTTGAAACATCATTTATGTAGAGTAGTGGGCGAGGAAAAATTGACCTTCGAAGAGTATGCAACTTTGTTATCTCAACTCGAAGCTTGTCTTAACACACGCCCTCTATGTGCAATTAGTGAAGATCCAAATGACATTAATTATTTAACCCCATCCCATTTCTTAGCAAGCGGTCCCATCCTTACAATATATGACACTGAAAGAGACGAGAGAACTCGATGGAAATTAACGCAAAAGATTTTCCAAGATATATGGACTAGATGGAGAGTTGAATATTTATGCCAACTTTCAGCATGAACAAAATGGCAACTCAAGCAAAATAACATCAAACTTGATGATATCGTTTTAATTCATGATGCCAACTTACCACCTGGAAAATGGGCACTTGGACGTGTAGTTGACGTACACCCAGGGAGAGATGGAAATGTGTGAGTCATCAGCATCAAAACTAAAAACGGCATCCTGAAAAGACCTATAATCAAGGTATCCCTACAGGCCGTGGATCACAACTACCAGGAATCAGTTAGCCATAATCAAAGGTCATTACATGAAGCGCAGGCTACCGAACCAAAACCAGCGAAAAAACGGATGAGCAATAATAAATTCGTGACGTCATGCATCAGCTTTATGGTTACAATGTTTTTATTATTTATGTCATGTAGTTCCATATCAGCCCAAACTACTTATGACATTAAATCATTGCATAATAACAACAATATATATTTTGACAAATCATCAAATATAATGTTTGTACAGGAAAAATGGAAACTCATAGTTTATTATAATATGAATCCATACTGGAAAGGAGCACAATTATTAAAAGAATATTACAAACATTTAGAATCATTATGTAATAACATCGAAAGAAAATCCTACTGTGACACAATTAAACTACAATTATATCATAATTTCTCGGAACTGGAGTACTATAACCTCATGTTGCAAAGTCAGCACGTTGACAAACGTCGCACGCGACGCGGACTTATCAATGCCGTGGGAAACGTCGCTAATAACTTGTTTGGATTGTTAGACGACAAATTCGCCGCGAAATATGAAAAAGATATAACGAGCATTAGACGCAATCAAAATAATTTAATTAATCTTTGGAAGAACCAAACTTATGTCGTTGAAGCCGAAAATAACTTATTGCAGCGCATAGAAAATACAATGGATAATCATCACAAACTTTTTAAAGATCATCTTAACGTTTTAGAACAAGCGGCCGATAGTTTGCAAAAAGAAATTAAAGAGATCGATATGGTCGAAGAGTTTATCTTATCTAGCATCATCGCAAATAACATCATAGATACCCTATTGGATACAATCACCAATACTCATCACTTTAATTTCCACATATTATCACCACAACAACTTCGGACTGAATTGAACATTATTTCCGGACAACTATCCAAAGACACGACATTGCCGAATAAAGATATATTAACCGACTTACCAAAGATGTATGAAATCCTCAAAGTAAGAGCTCGCATGACAAAACAATATTTTATTTTTGAAATTTTAATACCATTAGTGAACAGAGATAGTTATGAATTATATAAAGCCTACCCCGTCCCACGCATACAGGAGAATCACGTAATTAATATTTCACCTATAGCCAACTATGTGGCTATCAACTTACAAAAGGATACGTTTCTGCCAATATCAGAAACGGAGTTAACAAATTGCATCCAGTTTGACAAAAATACACACTTATGTGAATTGCAAAAACCAATATATCACAGAGAGTCCGATGATAACTTCTGTATCAGAGATCAAAATAACAATACATGTATTATATCCATTAACGCGTGCCGAGATACGTGGATTGAACTATTTAATGTAAATACATTTTTAATTACCTGTTGCAGCAAATGCAACTTGAGATTCATATGTGGGAATCAAATTACAAATGAACAATTAAATGCCACTAATATAATTGCGCTTGGTAATGATTGCATAATCAAAGGCGAGACATTCACGATTATCGCACTTAAACAGCACACAAATCAATTAAATATAGAACCCGACATAGTTCTAGCTGAAATCGCACCCGTCAACTAAATTATCAACTTGACCATACCACGGACTTCGATGAACAAAACCGACTTCAAAAAATCCTTTGAAGCCATAGAAGAGCAAGTAGCTAATTTGATGACGGAGCAAAATAAAATCGAGTTACCAAACGACTTGTCGTCACATGACATCCATTAATTCGCTGCTATCTACACCATAGGGATAGTGGTAGTAGCTTGTGCCGCATTCGTATGGTGGCGAACTCGCCGCCCTGCCGCAATAAACAACGAACAGGTCCCGAGACAGAGGGCGTGCGCCACTAGTGACGCACTCGGGCCTCACGCTACAAACTGTTCATCTTCAATACCAGCCGAGCTCGTGGTAGCGCACACTCAGCCCGCCCTGCCGGCGCGCCCAGTGGAAGCGTCTCGCACGAAGGCGTTGCCAGTGATTAGTGTTAGTGAACAGTGTGAAGTGCCAGTGAGTGCAAGTGATGATGTAAGTGTTAGTGAATATCGTAGTGCAAATGACAATAACCGCCTCTCAAAAGGCACATCTCCCGTGTATAGTAAAATAAACTTTGTGCGAGATTGATTGTCGGTTTCAGTTTGTATCAAGCACCTCTACTAACTATCAAAATTGTTGAATCATCTTGTATCACGTCATGTACTAACTTCACCGCATCTTCTCATCTCGCGCCCCGGAATATGTACGGTACAATGAACCGCACAATTGCAGCGTTGCATTTTTTACGCTACTGTGCCAAATCTAGGGCATGGCACGTCAGTCTTCATTCAACCGCGACTCATAATCATCATACATTAATTACAATTTACATATAAGTATTTTGTGTGACATTAAACTGTATCTTTGTAAATTATCATCTCTTTTCTTTGGTGTATCCTGAGAACACAAAAATAGATGATTATTGGTCCCTACCCGACGTCCATCATTGTCGGACCTTAAAATTTTTTTGTCGAAATATGGCTCTCTGTCACGATGTGATGTGGTAGAGGGAGCGATACTGCGTAGCCATTGCTCGATATCGGCATGACTCCTCTCACTACGACGTGATCCGCGATCACTATACTCTGCCTCGATTGCCTCTAGCTCAGCCTGATGTTCGGCCTCAGCAGCTTGGCGCTCGAGTTCTATCTGTGCGCGCATAGCGGTCATCTCCAATTGAGCGAGATGACGCTTATGCTGTGCCTCCGCTGCGAGTTTTTCTCGCGGTAACTGTGTGGAAGAGCGGCTTGTGCGCGTGGTTGCTACCGACAGTGATGTGTGTGAGCGGGTGTCAAACGGTACCTGATGTTCCTCCGCGGGCTGTGTTGCGGCTGCTTCATTATTTGATGATTGGCCATTTTCTTGCAGTTTACTTTGTGAATGTGTATTTACCATTATGATTGATGCTTGTTCGAATAATATATGCGAAAGGACCACTTGTAAACGACTGGTAATAATATTTAGCCGTTTATAGAAAATTTTCAGTGAATAAAAATACGTCTTTTTCGTGTGACATATATTACAAATCAAAGGAATCGATATAATGAACAAAAACATTATAAAAAATAAATATAAAAACCAAAAACAAAAATGTATCAAAAAGGTCCCATTCAGGGACAATGTCTGGGTAAAAAAAAAGAAATTCTATTTACTCCGTCAATCGGATATTTATACTAAATAACTACACAATTGGAATAGTTTTATAAGTATTGATTATTACACATAAAACAAATCATAAATTCTAACGCAGTACAGAACGACTCATAGTCGGGGGCCCTTGGGAAGATTTGATTGGTAAAATTTAAATGGGCCCGACTGTGAGTATGAAATGATGAAAGGAACCTAAGATGATTTTAAAATACCTATTCAATGATACCCCACTTGACATAGTCCATAGTTTTTTTTTCTTTTTACAATATGGCGTCTGGTTGTTGGTGTGGTGAATTTTGATTACTGTCATGTCTTTGTGACACTTGTAAGGTTGAGACGAATCGATTGACGTAAGAATCATCAAAATCGGCCTACGCATTTGGTCTCCAGAACGCTACATAGAAACAAACATACAATACATACATAGACTGATAATAAACACATTACCCTCCCTTGCGTCGCGCAGTCGGGTAAAAAACATAAGATACGTATTTTTTTTCAATTTACAAGAAATGGCTTAGATAATAGGTATATAAATTGAGGAGAGGGGACTCGCTACGTCACAACTATGTAGAAAATGCACAAAGGTGTGACGTCATGCGACATATCAACTCAATGTATGTCCGTAAATATTGATTACGCAAAAATACTTGTTTAAAACATTACAGATTTTTATGATGAAAATTTAGAAAAAGAAATTGATATTGACGTTTAATTTTGTACAATATACCATCTTCTGTCTCATAAAATGGCATCGCTTTCGTTTTATAACAGAATTAATAAAAAAAAAAAACTATAGACATTTTACTACTTGTAGCATGGACTTGTTCTAAATAAGTTTCTAACAATGCAAATTGTATTATTACTACATCATTTTATCGGTCAGGAGTCCATCGATATTTGCTAAGTATTTGCTTCGAATAATCAATGGGAACTATTTGAAACAATTTGTGCTGAATTCAGTAGATAGAAACTGAAGCGAACTACTTAAATGGTTTCTCCTTCCTCGGTTTAATAATGGTCTTGAAACTTTACAATAAGGTTGTAAGGGTGTCGAGTATTTTAAATTAGAGCTTGTAATAAAGCCATATTACTGACGCCGCTCTCTTTTTACTTTTCATATTAAATTATTTTACTCGATACGGGAAAGCAAATGGGTTTTTGTTTTCGACCGGTATCTGGATAATTATGAATGAATGAACGCTTTATTGTACATGAAAAAAAAAATATATCATTCAGGTAATCTCAAGTTAGGTTATGTTAATTTACTCCTTAATAACTTTTAAATTATCTTTATGTTCGCGCAGTATCCCTTACGGAGTAGATAGAGGAATTAAAAAAAATGTAATAGTTAAGGTATATAGGTATATAGAAGTATTTTGATCGTCAGCTGGGCAAATTTTGTGATTGAATGTAAGGAGAGCGTCTCAGTCGATCGCCTCCACCGTCGAGAGAGAGTCGGTGACGTCGATATAGGTGTCTGTGACATCGAGAATAATGGTGACATCGATGTGAGTGTTACTAGGACACAAAACCAAAAACATTCTTCTTATTTTATGACGTCATCTTGCTGTTCATACATCGCACTTAATCGTGAAATAAGAACCCTAAATCATAAAAAAAATAAGTTGAAGAAGTGCTATACTTTTAACTAGACTACTGAAAAGTCATGAAACAAGAAATTATTCTCATCTGAAATACTCATCGGACAGAACTAAAACTGCAATTTTTTCTTTTACTTTTCGACCTTATGTAGGCAATATCTCAAGATAAATTCATTAGTACGATCATAATACCTTCACAAATTTCAACAATATTATTTACGTAACCAGACAACATGCGGTATCCTGTATAAGCCCACTATCAGATCCCAGTCTGTTGCTATGGTACAAAATTTGGCGAAACATCCGTTTGCATACTGAAGTAACATGAAACGGTCTAGATATTTCATTTTGTTATAACCTTAAAATCTTTATATGACAATTTTAATATTAAAATTTTAATTTCAAAATAGTTATTTTTTATTTCATTTCTATTTAGATCCGAAAAATGATAAAAATATTACAAAAAATTATCATAGGACAATGAAATATAGGTTTTGACTAAATAATTAATATATGTGATCGATTTTGTATTATAAATTGTATAAGAATATTTACCTTAAAGATGCTTAATGATACATTTTGTGCACTTTCGATTGATGAATTTTTAGCATTAGTATTTGAGATAAAATCTATATAATATTCTTAATGAAAAATGTTATAAAAATCCTCTTTATCCATGGTACTCTGAGATGGTATACGACTTTTAGCAATCCGAGCGACTGCTCTAACCACTGAGAGCTACCCAGGATCTAACAGGACTGACGATTTTTTTCAAGCACTTGTTACTTTTTCGCTACAACAGAGCAAATTGATCAAATATAATAACAACTATATAAGTTTAGGTTTTATAAAAACCGTATGTATGATAACAGTCTGCGAATTTCTTGAACAGAAATTTATGTTTAAAGAGCTCCGTATCAAAGACCGAAATAACATCTTTCGTTATAAGTGAGTACTTATGTAATTCACAACGTAGATTACATATTGCTTTGATCCAATTTAAGATAGGGGTCTTGTAAAGATGCCTTTTCTTAGTTTTATAGCACAAAGAAACTTCAATGGCTTAATAAATAGCAAAAAATGAAAATAGGGTTTAGTAAAAATTAATTTAACTACTGCTTTTCGTTAATAAATTTAAAATAAATCATTCATTTAAATAACCTCTTAAAAGTATTTCAATGTTATAATAGATAAGTGTAACGACTATTACATTTCTAATTGTTGCAAAGTACAAAAATCTGCAAGAGTTATTATAATATTTGATACTTCAATATGTGGAAGTACTTACTATACATCAACCTGTACTCAATACGAAGGTTATGGAAGGTGGTGGAACACTTGGTGTCGATATGAATGGTTACAAAACTCTTGCATATTTTAGCACGAACTCTCATACTATTAATGGAAACTACACTAGTGTTCCTTAAAGTATGGGCTCCGACACATATGACAAAGCTTTCTGATCACGTTATTCGCCTCCTGGTTGTCTTAGAGAAAACGTGGGCTTAATATCGGTAACACACAGATTCCCTAGTGGCAAGTCGTGGAACTATTTAATGGTGTCTTATTAGTTATGTATTAATGAACAATAATTAAATTACTAGCTGTGCGACTTTAGCGGCGTACATTGTTGCCTACTTAGTAGTTACCCGTAGGCAAAACAATTGTCATGCTCAGGTCATTATTTCTGAAGATTGCCGTGCTCAAACAAATAAGTGAGTCGGAAACTTTGCCTCTTCATAATATTACTTTAGAACCAGTGACGAAATGGCCATAAGGATCCTTTCAATAGTCATTCACCACCTATGACTCGTAGTTTGAATAACTATCATCTGCTCTCGCTAATCATTCTTCAGGAAGTCAGTTCGATTCCTTTCAACAGACGTAGATCCTTTATGGTAAACGGTTATCTCGATGTTATAATTTACGTAACTAAGCACACTTGCGGAGAGTGGTTCCGAGCTTTCTGAAGGGACACAAAACATACACTCAACTAACAAGGTGGTGTCTAGTAGGAGTCTGACGTAACCTCACAGCTAACAATTTGGTTTGGTTTGGTGGCATGAAAGATTCACTGCTTCCTTCTCCCTTTGGCATTCTAAATCCATAACATTGAGAACCGAAAAAGTGCGTCAATTCAGTTGGTTTTAATAAATAGTAGCGGACTATAGATCTCCTATTATCCTATCAATGCGCGCACTAATGGAAAACAGGCCTGCACCATGGAGGAAGTCAAAATGAATCAAATAGGGAAAATGGGCCATGAACAACCTCATGACTCAGTGCGGATATGAGGGTGTTTACGATTGCACATACAGCTGGGTTTAATGTGCCCTCTTCCAATGTGCCTTCTGAAACACGGAGGGGCTTAAAGAACTAAGTTACTGGCCTTCCAAAAGTTGCTTAACTTCCGCATCGCAGACAAAATCGCGCTACCGTAGAGGGAGATATCTACGTGATAATTTTATCACGTATTCATCCGCCTATTTATTAAGGTGTTATTAGGTACGATAACTTCTAATCTCATGATAAACTCCTAAAACGTATAGTATCATAATGAATCAAACAACGCTTGCATTGCTCTCGTGTTTGCATTGCAATTAAATGCAGTGCGCGAAACTACAGACGGATTTTGTTAGCATGTAAATTTGCTCATCAATTAGGGCTCGCTGTTGCGCGTTCGTTTCGTTAACATTTACATAATGGAATTGACCTGCTTGTACCGACTTTGTTAGCGAGACCAAAAGTTTTCAGATAGCTTAACTTTTGAAATTAACAACCTTTTATGTATACCAAATTGCCATTCGTTTTATTCATAAAGGAGATGTCCCAATTGTATAGAGTCTGGACGAGGTCTATGTGCACCAAAGCATAAATTAGGCGAAAATAATCTGATTCCACTGAATACACTATATTTTTTAGAAGCAGCAATAAAACTGCAATACAAAATAAACTTAGATTGATAAAAGGCAGTGACAGTTTGTTGTTTTGTCCTAAGTCCCCATCTTGGATTGTTTTTAACAACGACCATTTTGCAATACTTTCATGTGCACGGTGGTTGAATTTTTTTTATATTTAAATAGAATAACATATAAACAATTGCCAGTCATAGAATGTAAAAAAAAACAAAAGCAAAAATATATTTTTCAATACCTATAATTATGTCCAAATGATTGACACGTAATAAAAATATATTTAATTTCACCTTTATTTACACCGACACAAAACGTTACCAGTCCAAATAAAATTCGAATAAGATAAAACAGAGATTAACGTTAAGCTGTAAACATAAAACAAAATGGTCGAGGGGAACACAAAAAACCCTTTCAATCTGTGCTCTGGGACTGTGATATCGGCAGTTTGAAGCGGAGGTGCCATTTTCTTGTCATTATTAGAGATAAATAAATATGTGCGCGCGGTCCTTAAAGGTTATTTTTTCACTTAATTTATCTTTATTTGGTAAGGTTTTATCTCTACGATCCCAAGCGGTAAGATTCAGGACCATTGGACTTCTTTATTGTAGCGCTTGATCTTATTTTACGTAATATATATTTAAGTAGCCATGTTACGAAAGTATTTCGATATTGTTTCAATTTGTGAAATTGTACAAAATGGAATAGGTTGATTTCTTCGAAATGTTATTATACTAGATAATTTTCTAATTCCACTTCAACAGTTATTTCTTTATCTTCAATTTCTTCTCCTTCTTTTTTATTTCAGATTTTCTGTACGTTATTCTAAGATAAGAGATAGATCAGTTGTGTCTTCATTGAAATCATAGGTATTGTTATATCATATTTGATTCAATATTGAGTAAGTCTGACCCTGACAATTACTACATACTGGCGAACAAATTAATTCTACTTTTTAACAGCCACATTTCTCACTACAATCTGCCTTACAGCTACAAAAAATTGCATTTTCTGGAATAGGTGCAAATAAGGTTTGAATTGACTCTAAAAATCGTCTCTTAATTTCCAACCCCATTCTTCTGATTTTTCTTTCATTGCCTAACGGCACTTGAACTTAATAATACACACGATACCTGGTTGAAAGCAAGGCCGACAAGATAACTGTGCTGTTTTATTGTTCCATGTAGATTTCACAGACCTTATACATCCATATTTGTCTATGGAATCGATTTTTTGGAG